CCACTAAACCCTAAACCCTAAACCCTAAACCCTAAACCCTAAACCCTAAACCCTAAACCCTAAACCCTAAACCCTAAACCCTAAACCCTAAACCGGGGCCGGGACGTTGGAGTCCAGCATGAAGATGTCCACCTCAAAACCCAGGTCCTGGGCCGGCTACACAGACCCAACAAGCCCTTATCATAGAGTCTAGGGTTTAGGGTTTAGGGTTTAGGGTTTAGGGATTGGGGTTAGGGATTGGGGTTTAGGGCTTAGGGTTTAGGGTTGAGGGTTTAGGGTTTAGGGTTTAGGATTTAGGGTTTAGGGTTTGGGTTTAGGGTCTGACAAGCCCGTACCTACTATTTGCTTAAGAACCCCAAAAGACTAAACAAAGAATAAGAATCCCCATATTACCCTTCGTAAGGAAGAACGGGGTTCGTAAGCAATTCGTAGTTACTATAGGGCTCTTAAGGGAGGGGGGGGGGGGTACAAGGGGGGTATATAACCCAAGGTTCCCTAATACTTCGCGAGCTTTTTTCAGGTTGTAACCCCCTTGAACCCCCCTCCCTTCAGAACCCAACAAGCCCTTCCTCTGGGTTTAGAAAACCCAAAACCCCAAGTCCTAAACCCCACGCTCTCGAGCCCGCAACGCATACAGACAGAGGGACTCCCGTCCTCAAATAGAATAGTATAATTAAAGAGGTACCGCAAGGGAATACCCCTAAACCCTAAACCCTAAACCCTAAACCCTAAACCCTAAACTCCTTCGGGCGCCAAATTCGGCCCTCAGTAGAGCTTTGCAGGCCCGAGTTGAAATTATTTATGGGGTTTAGGGTTTAGGGTTTAGGGTTTGAATTATACATCATCTGGGGGTTTAAGGACCCTAAGCAAGGTCAAAAGTACAGCATTCCACACCATGACTTGGCTTCTTATAGGTGGGCCAAAAGAGTCTAGTTCGTGTAGCAAGAGGGCCCGTAATGCTAAACCCGAGACCCTCCTATAATCCCTGAACCCTACACGCCAAGACCCTGAACCCGAAACCACAAGAGCCCCTAAACGCCCTAAACCCCTACAACCCTAAACCCCAAAACCCTTAAACCTCTAAGCCCCTAAGCCCGTACCCCACCCCAAAACCCTAAACCCTATACCAGAGCTGTCAAAAAAAAACATTCAAGTATAGTACTCCCATACACTACCGGCCGAATGGGTACCAGGCCTGCGCCTTCTTGTAGCCAGTGCAGAGGTTCTCGGCTTCAGTGATATCCCAGAGCACTTGCCACTGCCGCGCCACGTGCCTGGCGTTGCGTTCTGTCAGGAACCCCATGGGCAGCCTCAGCTTCTCGCTTTCGCTGTGGCTTCGTCTTGCTTATCATGACCGCTTCTGACAGCTGCAGCACCAGGAAGAAGGCCCGGCTCCAGCTGCAGCAAGAGGAAGGCGGCAAGCTGCATGAGCAAGCGAAGGCGAGGACTGCAGCGGTTTTGAGGTGAAACCCTCATGCTAGAGCCGCCGGGCTGTCCCTAAAACCCTAAACCCGACACTCCAAACCCTAAACCCTGAACCCCAAACCCTGAACCCTAAACCCTAAGCGCCTAATCCCTAAACCGAAACCCCAAAACCCTCAACCAGAGCTGTGGGGCTGCGGCAGGATAGCGCACGTGCTGGCTGAAGTACAGCGCCGGCATCACCCACCGGTCCTCGAGTAATTACTGTTTTTGTGTGGATAATGTTTAGGGTTTAGGGTTTCGGGTTTAGGGTACAGAGTCTTAGGAGATTTAAGGTTCAGGGCATAGGGCGTCGAGTGGGCTGGCCCAGCATACGGCTCCAGGCTTTCGAGTTTCAAGACTTGGTTGGGCTTCAAGGTTTAGGGTTGGGGGTAGGGATTTAAGGCGCATTGAGCATGGACAACTCAGATGTCGAACCCCCTGAAACAGCAAAGCAGAAAGCCACCTCTCACCCTGCAAAAGCACCAAAAAACTCTGGACATCAGCGTCATGGTCCTGAGAAGCTGGAGGGTTTCAAGTTGAATGCCTAAACCCTGAACCCTGAACCCTGAACCCTGAACCCTGAACCCTGAACCCTGAGCCCTGCACCTAAACCCTGAACCTAAACCCTAAACCCTAAACCCTAAAGCCTAAAGCCTAAACCCTACACTCTACACCCCTACAGTACCTTGAAGTCTCAAAGCCTTGCCGAGCGCAATCTCAGGACCCTGCGCTGGCCCAAGTGTACGCCACCTGCCGCAAGGCGCAAGGATCTGAGCAGAAGATCTGGAAGAAACCTCACACCCTAAAGCCTTGGATTTAGGATTTAGGGTTTAGGGTTTAGGGTTTAGGGTTTAGGGCTTCGGCTAAACTCTAAACTTCTAAGCCCTCGAACCCTAGAAACCTTAAGCGCCCGAATATTAAACATCTAAAAACTGTACCCATTGAACCCACTAAACCCTAGACCCTAGACCTTAGACCCTTGACCCTAAACCCTAAACCCTGAACCCCCCAAGCCCTAAAATCAGGGGTCTGGATCTTTGGTTCGAGCATGGCTTGGGTTCAGGGCTGTAGGGCCTGTGGGGTGTAGGTAGGGTTCAGGTAGTGCTCCGGGCTGTAAGGCTTAGGATGTAGGATTCGTGGTTCAGATTTGGGCTTTGGGCCACCCTAAACCCTAAACCCTAAAGTAGAATTTAGGCACTATAGGCTGTTGGTGCCTGCTGGTCCCAGGCGTAGTTGAACTGGCGTGCACCTCAAACAGCAACAGGGGTTCAAGGCTTGAGGTGTAGGGCGTGTAGGGTGTAGGGATTTGGGGCTTCCGTGCCTGTGCACCCTTATCCTTATAAACCCTAAACCCTAAACCTTGTAAACCCTAAACCCTAAACCCTAAACCCTAAACCCTGAGCCCTAAACCCTAAACCCTAAACCCTAAACCCTAAACCCTAAGCCCTAAACCCTAAACCCTAAACCCTAAACCCTAAACCCTAAACCCTCAACCAAAGTGGGGTTCCGGTTCTCCTGGAAGCTTTGGGGCCCCATGGCGGAAGCTGGGTTGCATGGTCGCTTGGGGCTCGGGATCATGCGCGTGCACCCGATGAAGTAGCTAACCAGGGGTTTAGGGTTTAGGGTTTAGGGTTTAGGGTTTAGGGTTAGGGTTTCCCTAAACCCGAACCCTAAACCCTAAACCCTAACCCTAAACTCCAAAGGATCCCTACTTGGAGCTTCATGGTACGTATTAACCACTTATAACTACGTAACTATACTAAAAACTGTAATTGTTACCACATATTTGGGTACTTTTTGGGGGCTCATAAGTGGGTTATAAGTGGTTATAAGCACAGTTAACCGGTCATAACTGTACTTATCACCATATAGGGGCGCCTTTTAGGGGCTTATAAGTGGGTTATAAGTGGGTTTACTGACAACTGTACTTAAAACCATATTAGGGCACGTTTTAGGGGCTTAGAAGTGGGTTGTAAGTACAGGTAAAATTGGTTAAGAAGTGCCATGAACCTCCAAGTGAACTTCAAGTTGTCAATTTGGGGTGCTGCACCTTAAACTAACAGTCCTTAATAGGGATGATCATAGGGCGTACTATAATCCCCTTGTAGGACAGTTAGTATAAGAGGAACATCCCACTTTTCAATTGTAAACTCTACATGTTCAACCATGTGCGCTCAGTCCGGCAATCCACCCAGCCACCCTGAACCCTCGGACCCCTAGAATGGGTTTAGGGTTTAGGGTTCAGTCTGTTCCTCCTGACCAAAAGACCTCAAGCCGAGTGGCAAGGACCACTACAACCAAACCCACGCCACCGCCGAAACAAAAAAATGAAATCGAACCCTAAACCACACTTCCCCCAACAGAACGAAAACATCCAAACACAAATGCCCCAATCCCGGGCGAAACCCCCACATAGGACTAAACCATGATGACCCTAGACCCTAAACCCTAGACCCTAGACCCTAAACCCTAAACCTCAGGCGGGAGGCCATAGTCGTGGTTCCCCAAAACAGAGAGCCAGGGCTTTCCAGCCAGGGCCCCGGAGTAGACCCAGTTAAAGGCCTTGCGCTTGAGGTTCCAGGCTAGGGTTTAGGGTTTAGGGTTTAGGGTTAGGGTTTAGGGTTTAGGGTTTAGGGTTTAGGGTTTAGGGTTTAGGGTTTAGGGTTTAGGGTTTAGGGTTTAGGGTTTAGGGTTTAGGGTTTAGGGTTTAGGGTTTAGGGGGTGTAGGGTTTAGGGTTTAGGGTTTAGGGTTTAGGGTTTAGGGTTTAGGGTTTAGGGTTTAGGGTTTAGGGTTTCGGGTTTCGGGTTTAGGGTTTAGGGTTTGGAAACCGAGTAAGGATAGGGAGAACATGGGAGTTCAAGCGAATATTCCTAACTAGAATCCTGCGAAACCCAAGAAGAGAAAGTACGAGCAATGTCCCTTCAGGGCCTACCTAGTTTTTTTTAGGTTCCTAGAGCCAACAATGTGGCCCATACCCCTCATGCACCCTCTACATATTAAGGGACCATAATCAGGGCCCATGAAACTACCCTCCAGAAGTCGTGCCGTTACCCTTAGTATGGCAACTAAGCCTATGTCTGGGCGCAGGCTCTGCTTAGAGGTTCATGGTACTTATTAACCAGTTATAACTGTACCCATAATTGTACTTGTTATAACCATATTAGGGCACTTAAGGGGCTTATATGCGGGCCATAAGTACAGTTATACTTGGTTCTACTAAGTACCATGAACCTCCAAGTAAGCTTGTGTGTGGGCGCAGGCTCTGTTGGGAGGTTCTGAAGCCCCGCGCTGGGCCCCAGAGTCAATTTTTTTCTTCTCCTTGGCACACCTTGGGGACCGAAAGAACCCTATCATTGGGGTCATGTACCCTATACAGCGATAAGCCCGATTAAGGTATTCTGAACCCTATAATTGGGGTCATGTACCCTTCCTCTTGCAGCTACTTACCATCCCTTGCAAGGTATTCTGAGGCCTAAGACCCTTCTAGGGTTTGTTTGGTGCCCAAGGCATCTGAAAGCAATCCACCAAGTGCTTCTCATGGCGTAGCAGCAGTGTTCACTTCAAATTTCCCAGATGCTTCGCCAGACTCATCCACCTCAAAGCGAAGCACGTGCGTGTGGAATCGCTGCAAGGCCGGGCGATGTGTGATGGAGACAAAGCCTTACTTGCTGAGTTCATAAGCCCCTAAAAAGTGCACACTTTCAGATTTATAGGGGATTGTTATAGTATCCCAAAATGTGTAAAGTGTACTCACTCAGCTACTAAGAAGCTCATCCCGGCGCACAGGCTCAGCAGTTGCTGGTAGAGGGCTTCCTCCGTTGGCTCGTCCAGGGCAGAAGTTGCTTCATCCAGGATTGCCAGGTTGGGCCGCAGCAGAAGCAGTCGACAAAATGCACATCGCTGCCTCGGTTGCCCAGTAACCAAGGAATAGAAAAGGTTGAACCCTTCTCTTCTTAAAGGGGTTCATGTGGGAACCTAAACCCTTAACCCTAAACCCGTAACCTCAAACCCCAAACCCTACTCCCCCCCCTCCCCCCAACAAAAAAAACACAAAAACAATGAGGGCACTACTGGGCATCTCAGCTGCCGCTCGCCTCTCGAAAGCACGGCCTCCCAATCAGCAACGACCTCCAAGTCCTCTCCATGCCGCGCGATGACATCACCCAGGCAGGAGCACCTGGGGGACGAAATGAACCTTAAAATTGGGGTTTAGGGTTTAGGGTTTAGGGTTTAGGGGGGGGCATATACCCTTTGCTACTATAATTCCTGTTCAGGCATATGGATCATAAACCCTTTGAGGGTTCATTTGGTCCCCAAGGCGCTGGGCAGCTGCCAGAATGTCTTCATCCCGGAGCGTGTGCTCGGCCAAGGGAAATGACAGCACGCGACGCAGTGAACCCTCGGGCATGTAGGGATCCTGTGGCAGAAAAGCCACCGGCCTTGTGTGCCGGAGACTCCCGGAACCCCCTGCCCACAAGCCAGCCAAGGCACGAATCAGCGTGGTCTTGCCTGCACCAGATGGCCCGAACACCACCAGGCTCTCCCCCGGCTTCAGCTGAAAGGAGAGTTGCCTGTAGAGAAAAGATCCGTCAGGCAAACTGAGCGACAGCCCATCCACTTCAACGGCCGCTTTGCTGATCTCAGGCGCTGGGAGTGGGTTCTGTGCACGCCGCGAGGCCGCCGCCAGTGCCTGAACCAGCCCTTCCAGGCGGCTACCCTCGGCAATCAACGCGGACACGGAACCTTAGTTGTCCAGAAGCCTGGGGGAGCTAAAGGTCAACCTTTAGGGATAGAAGGGGGCTATACTAATGTTAACCTCACATCTATAATTGGGGTGGCAACTGTAATATTCGCCGGGCCAGAGGGGCTCAGCCGAAGACTACTTTCCATTACGGGAGGTTTTCGGGCCGATGTGTGTAAACAAGTCTATATAGGGGGGTCCGGTGAAAATAATAATGGGGTGACAACAGTAATATTTGGCCGGCCAGGAATCAGAAATTTTACTTGCAGAGAAGACTTTTCGAGCTCCGAGGCTCTAGAGAAGCAGATCTCGTTTGAGATTGCTTGTCTTGTGAGATTGCTGCAGCTCCAGAGCTGCGAGAAACTGCTGCTTCAGGCCTGTTTCTTCAGAGAAGCAGGTGCCTCTTGAGATTGCTGCAGCTCCAGAGCTGCGAGAAACTGCTGCTTCAGGCCTGTTTCTTCAGAGAAGCAGGTGCCTCTTGAGATTTGCTGCAGCTCCAGAGCTGCGAGAAACTGCTGCTTCAGGCCTGTTTCTTCAGAGAAGCAGGTGCCTCTTGAGATTGCTGCAGCTCCAGAGCTGCGAGAAACTGCTTCAGGCCTCTTTCTTCAGAGGAGCAGGTCTTCCTCTAAGGCTTCAGATAAGAGTCCCTGAAGCTGAAGACTTCAGCCTTCGGGTCTTGGAATTCAGGAAACCGCCAGAGGTCTGAAAGCAAGGTTTCTTTACTAAAATCTTATCCCCCGGGGCTCGAAAACAAGTCCGGAAAGGGTACCCCTTATGGGCCTCCAAAATGACAATAGTAAATGGGTGGCAATAATAATTTCGGCGAGGGGGGGGGAACCAAGGAAGCCTCAAGTTTAAATGGCTGCCTTTAAGTCTCAAGACAAGAACCCTTAAGCTCAAGACTTCAGGCTTCGGGTCCTGGTCCAAGTCTCAAGGCAAGAATCCCTGAAGCTTAAGACTTCAGCCTTCGGGTCCTGGAATTCAGGAAGCCGCGAGAGATCTCAAAGCCAGGTTTCCTTACTTAAAACCTTTAGACCCCCAGGCCGCAGACCCCAGACCCCAGAATCCTCATTATTGACACCCTCTCTTTTTTTTGACCCGTCCAAACCCCGGGGACCAAAACAAGATTTGGGGGGGGGGGGGGGGTTTATTAAAGCGACGTTAACATTACCCCAAAAAAGGTTAAAGGTTACCTAATCTACTACCCCAAAAAGGTTAAAGGTTACCTAATCTACTACTAGGGAACGGAACTTCCGAACAACCACGGTCAGCGCGCCCAGCGACACCTGGAAGGCCATGATGGCTTGTGGCACAGTTCCAAAAGGCACCTTGTCCTGAAGCCAGAGAGGAGACACCTAGGCCCAAGAGCAGCCAAGAGGAATATGTTTAGGGTTTAGGGTTTAGGGTTTAGGGTTTAGGGTCTAGGGTTTAGTGTTTAGGGTCTCCCTACTACACCCTCCACACTATATACCCCTAGGTTCCCCCCTTAAATAGCCTTAATTAGGCTTACCTATCCCTAGCTAGCCTAAACCTAGGGGGGGGGTACCACAAAGGGGGGGGGGGGGGGGGGGGTAGTAGGGGAACCCATAAAAGAAGAGGGCACCCTCTTTTTTAGGTGTCAAAGGGGTTTTATAAGGGAACATAAGGGAACCACAACTTTTCCCTCAGAGTGGAACAAGGGCACCTGGTTTGGTTTCGGGTTTACAAGGGAACCTATAAAGCAACAAACAAGAAGCGGAACAAGGGCCTACTCTGGGTCCAAGACACAATTACCCTGAACCCCAACTCCTAAACCCTAAACCCTAAACCCTAAACCCTAAACCCTAAACCATAAACCCCCTGGGTCCAAGACACAATTGCAACAGGGAGCAAGTAAGCAGCCCAGCTGAAGAATTCCCGGAAGGTTCCTCGGTTGGGCCCCTTACACACCTCTGAAAAAAAACATCTTCCTAGATGGAATCCTAAACCCTAAACCCTAAACCCTAAACCCTAAACCCTAAACCCTAAACCCTAAACCCTAAACCCTAAACCCTAAACCCTAAACCCTAAACCAAATATCCCAAGGGCCTACCCAGTTTCCAAGGCTGGTCCTCCAGAACGTCCGGGCCCACTGCTGCTGCTGCAGCTTAAGGTACCGGCCTCGGGACTCGGCACCTCAGCAAAGGTTTAGGGTTTAGGGTTTAGGGTTTAGGGTTTAGGGTTTAGGGTTTAGGGTTTAGGGTTTGGGGTTTCGGGTTTAGGGTTGCCGCCCGGGTGCTTTCTGAAGGCTCGCCACCGCAGAGGCAAAGGGGCTCAGCGCGGTCCAAACATCGAGCGATGGACTTACGAAAGGCTGCCTCCTTTACAGGGGTCTTAAGGGAGGGGGGGTTAGGGTTTAGGGTTTAGGGTTTAAGGTTTAGGGTTTAGGGTTTAGGGTTTAGGGTTTAGGGTTTAGGGGGGTAGGTACCTAGGCACCTTGCGGGAAGCTTAGGGGGCCTTAGGGGGTATCAGGGAGTATTAGGGAACCTTGGGTTACATAGCCCCCCTTCCCTCCCTTAAGGACCCGCTAACTCCTGCGACTTGATGCTCCGGTCTATTCGGACCAGCGGTGCTCCAAAAAACTTCACCGTCGCCAGCGCGCCCACTGCAGCATAAGAGGCCATCACGAGACAGAGTAGAGGGGAGATGCTGTACATGACCCCGAGGAATCCTGACAGTTTCAGGACATTCTCGAAGACATCACCTAGGCTGCCCAATAACCTACTGAAACGATTAAAATGGAAGAGTTTGGGGCTTAAACATTGGGGGCTGAAAGGGGTTTTATAAGGGAACCCAATCCCCCCAAAAAAGAAACCCTAAACCCTAAACCCCAAACCCCAAACCCTAAACCCCAAACCCCAAACCCTAAACCCTAAACCCTACACCCAAACCTGTAACCCGAAACCCTAAAAGGGAAATTAGGGCACTGCTGGGCATGCGAGTCACGGATCATCAGGACCAGCATGTCCGCGAAATGCCCAGCCTCCACGGCTATCCTCATGTCGGGGTCTGGAACATTAGACCTTGGTAGCGCAGTAACAAAACTATAACAAGGGTCTAGGGTTTAGGGTTTAGGGTTTAGGGTTTAGGGTGCCCAGTATCCATACGGTAACAAAGGGTACCCGAATTTGGGGTTGGTTACTTTTTTGGGGTACCTTGAACCGAAAAACAGGGGCAAAAGGGTACCATGGGTTCAGCTTCTCAACCTCTTAGGGCCAAGAAGTCCCTTGCAACCATATGAAGGTACCATGGGGCTACCAAGAGACTCGTGCCGCAACCAATAGACGACCTTCGGGCGAAAATAGTCTCGAAGCAGCCCGTCAGTGAGCGCATCCCTCCAGACGATAGTTAGTCCGCCCGCTGCAAATTCAGCCAGCGATCGGAAAGGCATCGTGGCGGCGAGCAAGACCATTGCCAATCCGAGCTTATTGAAGAAAAGCGCCGCTTGCTTTTGCGACAAGGCTGTCATGTAGTCTCGCTGGGCAAAAGACTGGGCTACAGCTGCAGTGTTTGCCAGAGCAAGCGAGATGAAAAGAAGCACGATGAGAATGAATGACCTTCGCGAGCGGGCACTCCCAAAGGTCAATCGCGAAGCGATACGCCAGGCTGAAGACAAGCCTTCACGCTCGGAAGATTTGCTCGCCATTGTGGGCGTCCGTCTCCTGACATGACCCCGGCGCACTGCTGTACAGGAAGGCCACAAGTTTTTTAAGAATGCTGGCACACAGCTTCTTAAGCAAAACAACCCCGAAATCGAGCTGCTAAACGCAGTGCGGCTACTTCGTTGCGACCACCAACACAGGCAGGCCCATTGCCATGAATGCTGCTACGGCAAGGAGGCCCCAAGCAGGAAGCAGAGCAGGCAGCTGGGTAGTCGGACTCACAGCCCTTGCCGGCCAGTGGCGCAAGGTGCGCTGCGGTGTCTTGCCTATACGGAACGTGGAACCCTAGCAAAAATTGTAACTTTAGTCGCTTCTTAGGACTTACAAAAAAACCCAAAAAACTTAGAAAATACTCCCAGGAATCCCTAAGTTGCATGACTCGGAGGATATGCTTCTGGAGCCAGTCAAACCCATGACTCCATGCAAGCGTCTCAAACCCGTGGGGCAGCTGCTGAGCATCGGATCATCCTGCGGACAGCCCTAAACCCGAAACCCCAAACCCTAAACCCTAAACCCTAAACCCTAATCCTAAACCCTAAACCCTAAAAGCTGGTACTATAGCACCTTCAGGCACATGGCACCAACATGCAAGCAAACGCCTGCTGGTCCTGCTGCTGCTTCGAAGCGCTGAAACAGTGCGGGCTCTGACCATGGTGTCAGTACATCTGCTCAGTTCTCTAAACTATGTTTTCTTTTGGGGGGAGTATATACTCTAAGTTATGGTCCCTTTTGGGGGGTATATACTCTAAATTATGGTCCCTGTTGGGGGGGGTACATACTGGAAATTATGGTCCCTTTTGGGGGTACATACCCGAAATATTTCAGGGCCGCCTTATATGTTGTTCCCCTGTCCGTGCTGCTATAATGCTGATCATGTCGCTCTCATCCTGGGAACGGAAGTTTGAGCAAGGCCAGGCAGCATTGCAACTGCAACTGCAAACACGGACTTTGCAGGCTTTCCGATCACCTAGACCCAAGAGTAACCCGAGACCATAAACCCTAAACCCTAAACCCTAACCCTAAACCCTAAACCCTAAACCCTAAACCCTAAACCCTAAACCCTAAACCCTAAACCCTAAACCCTAAACCCTAAACCCCCTGAAATAAGGGCCTACTTTGGGTCCTAGTCATAGTCACAACGTGTGAGCGCCTGAGCCGGCCTGCGACAGCACGCAGTGACATTGCCTAAGCCACACGCATGACCTTCAGCATTCCCCTAAACCCTAAACCCTAAACCCTAAACCCAAACCTCACACCCGAAACCCTAATTCAACCCTAAGCCCCAAACCCCAACCCTCGAACCCGGCCTTCTCAAACTGGATCTTCGTGGCCTCCTTGATCTGGTTCATCGGGCTACCACAGCCCGTGTTCATGCCCTGCGACCGCGGATTGCGGGGTTTAGGCTGTAGTTTTTAGGGTGTAGGGTTTAGGGTTTACGAATTTTCAGGGGTTCATTCGGCTTGATAGGGCAGGCGGAAGCTCCAAAACCCCAAACCCTAAACCCTAAACCCCAAATCCCGCTCAAAAAACTCCTAATTCCTAGTTCTAGCAGGCCGGTCCTGCGGATAGAAGTTGTCGCCGACGTTCAAGATGTACTGGAGGCCGGTCCTGCCGATTCCGCTGCTCGCGCCACGGGTGAAGGACGCAAGGAGAGGGTTTAGGGTTTAGGGTTTAGGGTTTAGGCTTCAGGGTTTAGGGCTTAAGGTTTCGGGTTTAGGGTTTTGGACCCTAATTGGGTTAGAAGGATCCTAAGTTAGGTTATAAATCCCTCAACTATACTAAGAAAAGTAGGGGGGGGCGCCGCCTTGTAGGTAGGGTTTAGGGCTGAGGGAAACTGGGATAGGTTTGAGGGGAACATTTGCAGTTGTTCTGGCTTTACAAAGGGGATTAAGGGTAAATAAATATACAACAAGATGCTCAGAGCTACCCCTGGACAGTTTACTGCTTGGGGATTAAGGCTTTAGGGAGGGTTGCGGGACATTAGGGTTTAGGGTTGCACGTTGCATGTTGTCTCCGAGGCATTTGAACATGAGCTGGTTCACTGGTTGCGTTCCAAGCTAGTCCTAAACCCTAAACCATAAACCCTAAACCCTAAACCCTAACCCTAAACCCTAAACCCTAAACCCTATGAACCCTGTCAAGAACCGCCAATACCCGCAAAACTCCTCGAGCCTTACAGGGCATGCGGAAACCTTTGAAACCCTCCTGGCTTAGGGTTTAGGGTTTAGGGCTTATAGGGTTTATAGGGTATAGGGTTTAGGGTTTATAGGGTTTAGCGTCTATAGGGTTTAGGGTTTCGGGTTTAGGGTTTAGGGCTTAGGGTTTGGGGTTTCGGGTTTAGGTTATAACAGAGTGTAGGCCATACCGGGGTTTGCAGGATCTCGTAGGGGTTTTACAGGGTGTTATAACGTTTGATCTGAGTTTCATAGGGTTTTATATATGGGGTCTTACGGGGTTTGAAAACGGTTTTAAAGGGGTTCTTTTGAAAGGTTTGCAGGGTTTGCAGGGTCTTAAAGCGTTTTCAGGTTGGGAAGGTTCATAAGGTTTGTCGGGATAGAGGCTCAAGCGGGTTTAGGGGTACCCCCCAGCACTGCCAGGGTGCATGCACCTTCGGGTGAGGGGAATAGGGTATAGGGCATAGGGTGTAGGGTATATGGGTTTGGGGTTTAGGTTTAGGATACAAACTCGACTCAAAGGCGAAGGAAAAGCCGGTCTTCTCCGCTCGCTTCTTCATCTGCTCCGCGACCACCACCTGAGATTTCGGCTTTGGGTCTTCGGGTTTGCGTAAACCTTACACTCCCGAAGCCCAAACCACCTAAATGCCAAACTAACCCTACACCCCGCAAAGCCCTAACACGCACACACGACCCCCAAAACCCTAATTCCCGTTAACCTCCTCAAGCCCCTAGCCCCTAAAACCCCACAAACCAACCCTAAACCCAAAACTCCCTCAACCCCAAACCCTAGTCTGCGCAAAGCCTCTGCATAAGGGCTTACTTGGAAGCTCTTTAGACTTAGTATGCCTACTGACTATCCCCTAGAAACCCTCTTTTAGCCCACCTTACCCACCCTGCCTACGAAGTCCAAAAGGGCTTCCATGTACGGGATTCCGCCGCCCTCTAAGCCCTAAACCCTAAACCCACAACCCTCAATCCTCAACCCTAAACCCTACACCCTAAACCCTATACCCTAAACCCTCCCCTTTTTTTGGTACGGCACCGAAGCCTCCTAGAACAGTTGGGTTTAGGGTATTTAGGGTTTACTGTTTAGGGTTTAGGCGATGTTTAGGGTTTAGGGTTTAGGGTTTAGGCTTTAGGGTTTCGGATACTAGACCCAAGAGTAAGCCAGGAATAAGAAAAGGTGCCTCTTTGGTTTAAGATTGGTATATGAGGGATCCCGAACCCTAAAAAAGGGAATGAGGGCCTACTTTGGGTCCTAGTAAGACTCCGAGTACAGTGTTCATAGGGCATTTTTTTTGTTGTTTTGTTGCTGTTTTTTTTACACCTGGTTGTTTTAGGGTTCAGGGCTTTGGTTTTCCCAAGACACTCCAACAAGGTGACGGTTTTTGGCTTATTTAGGTATATGGGGAGCCTTCACCCTAAAAAACTCGGGATTAGGGGCACTCCTGGGTATCCTAGATCAGCTCTCCCTTTTGCAAAATGGGTTTAGGGTTCAGGGTGTTGGGTTTGGGTGCTTGAGGATGGATTCATCTGATAATTCGGGTTTAGGCATTTGTCGGCGGGTGCTTGTAAGGTACAAGTTTATGGTTTAAGAATTGTGATGGCATACTATGAGTTTCCTGGCGCGCTTGCGCTTTTAGTTGTGGTCTTGGGGGCAAGTTAAAAAAACCTTTACTGGAAAGCAATTTTTTCGGACTGGCCTGAAGAGCCCCAAGCCTGCTTTGCTGCAGGTCTAAGCTGACTCTTAAGAAACCTGCAAGAACACAAGCTGTTCACTTAAGGCAGGGCGCAGGGTTCAATGATCAAGACTTAGAAGCCCTGTCCTATGCATCATCGTAAACCCAAACATCACCTTTTGCAGAAGGAGTAAGCAGGCGTGAGCTTCACATATAGGGGCCTGAATAATTAGAATCAGTGTTTTGGAGTTATTCTCGAATATTTACAAAGGGACCGTAAGGGAAAATTATTCGTAATTCTGCCGACCCCTATATTATGTAGTTTCGAAGGAGCCAGCTGCGATGTTTCCGGATCATTGAAACAAGCCTAAACCCTAAACCCTAAACCCTGAACCCGGAACCCTAAACCCTAAACCCTAAACGCCAACAGTGGGAGAGAGGCTATTGAGAACCCTGAACCCACCTGCGCGTGGTCGTCGACGCCAGACACAAAGCCGCACGTCTGGGGCCGGTTCGGGTGTTCCAGGTTTAGGCTTTTGTGGTCTAGGGTTTCAGGGAAGCGTGAAAAGCTTTGGGTTCAAGCGTCTAAGGGTTCAAGGGTTTAAGGGTTTAAAGGCTTAAGGGTTTAAGGGTTTCAGGGTTTACAAGCTTAAGGGTTTAAGGGTTTAAGGGTCTAGGGTTTAGGGTTTGAGGCTTAGGGCAGCCTCGTGTTTGGCTTAGAAGGTCCGTGGGGTTGATAGTATCTAGGCTTTGGGGTACACTCTCTTCCCTCCCTCCCTCCCTCTCTCTTTGTGTGTGTGTGTGTGTGTTTTTGTTTTTTCTCTCTCTCTCTCTCTCTCTGTCTCTCTCGCGTTCTCTCTGTGCACATGCATAAATACATACATACGTACGTGCGTACATACACGCACACACACACACACATATCTCGTCTTTATATGTATGCAGAAGATACACTGACTTTGCCTTTTCTCATCAAGGCCTACCACGCCAACTTAAAGGAAAATGCCAGGGCGTATAGGCTTCAAGTTTTACGGTCGAGGGCTTAGGGTTTTGGGTGCAGGGTTTCAGGTTTTGGGGCACGCGCCTGCTTGCATGAATTCGGAGCTGAATCACCTCAGTCTGCTTCAGGGTTTCTTCGCTCCTTGTTTTTTTGGAGGTTCCCCGTGTACCCTAAGCCCTACGTAAGCCCTAAACCTTGGGTTTTGATTTCTGTACTGGGGTTTAGAAACCAACCGAGGCCTGAATAAGCATTATGCGGGGGCGCAAGGTACCCCGAAAGGGGTCCTAGTCTTGCTATTCTCTTCCCTACATACTTATGGGATTGAGGGTTTAAGGGTATTGAAACCTCCCATAAAACCTACAGACTTGACGTTTCGGGAGGGCGTCGGACGCGGGCTCAAAGAGTTCGTCTCGCATCGAACGAACCACTTGCTCTGCATTGCGCCGAATACCCCCCCCCCCCCCATTTCGCTGCTATTATGTGACGGATGCACCGCACTGCGCCGAGCGCATTGCGTTGCTTCAAATGCGTTGAATTGCGCTGAGTCGCGCGGCGTTCGTTGAGCTGCTAGTGTTTTTAACGGCGCCCTGCACGGTCGCTTCT